CCCCCCCCCCCCCCTCCCCCTTCACAAACCTAACACTGACCTTGTGTCCAGTCCTGGAAGTGTTGTAGTTATTGCTTTAAAGGTGAAGCGCAGATTAAAAGTTAACTTTATAGATTTATAGTGACAAAAGGCAGTGTGTGAAAGGGAATTACGGGAAGAAAACATAGGCTCTCCTATTTTCTTTTACTGTCTGTTTGGATACTATCCAGGTGTACCAGCCCCCACCTCACACTGACACTGAAAACGATTGGCTGGCCAAAAGGGCGGGGCACCTGTCAGGTGAAACCATTCAGCTCACTGGTGTGTGAGCAATAGGAATCAGCAACCTTTCTTAAAATTTCCATCTGTTTTTTCACTTTTTCACACTAAAATGTCCCCCTTTTACCCATAAACTCTTGGCTAGGCTGACTCTCAGCTTCCTTTTTGTCCCAGATGTGACCCATATGTTGTGATGCAGCACAAAGGGTAAAGAATTTGTCTCTTCTTCCTCTCTCATCACCATCCTTCTCTAGACTCCTTCTCCTCCTCTTTCTCCCCTCTAGTGTCGAGTGCTGTAATTGATATGCCAACAGCAATAAATCAGCTCAGCTTTATGCTTTGAGCGGTGACCATTATCTGAACAGACAGGTTTAGCCTCTTTGGAGAAGAGGCTGAGAGAAGGAGTTATCCAGCTCAAACTCACCAGCAGCTCAAAACCTCACCAGCCTCTGGAATTTTAAAAAACATCCCACCTCCTTTTCTAACTGTCTTAAAATCCAAGACCCAAAAAATAGGTATTTAAAGCTTTAAAGTGTGCCTCATTCAGATTCCCATTGCCCATCGGGATGCTGTACAATCCCGTCGGTTGATAGGATGTGCCAATATCAAATCCAATCAACCTGCCCACTTACAGCCGGCTGTCTTTAATGCTTTCCCCTTAAACGATAAAGGCTTCTGCTTCCTAGATTCGTTGATTGCCTATTCCCAAAGCCGCAGACACGCTCGGGTCGGAAATGATTGACATGTTTTTCCTTGATGGTGCCAGATATGACCAGCAACATTCTTTCACAGCTCTTCCCACCATTTCACTTAAGCTTTGGAGGAAATTGAAATTGAAGAGGGTTTGGGGAGGGATAAATGTGGAGGGAGAAAAAATGGAGAAATTTGAGAGAAAGAAATGTGGGGTTACAGGCAGAGTCAAAAACCATTATCAAGAGTTTAGATGTGCCTGGCAAGAGGATAGAAGGTGAGATTGGGAAGCCGGGGTGGGGACATTAGTAGAGTCGTGATTTTTCTATCCATGCTGATTCCTTCCCACTTAGTTGTGAAGTGTTTTTCTTGACAGTTTATTGGCCATTAGATAACAGACAACCGCAGACTTCAGGTGCCATTTGTCAAACCATTCACTTGTTTCATTCACATTCACTTGTATCCTGTTGCTAACCCAAAAGAAGATAAATTACATCAGGGATGTTTTTTTAAATTCCTTTTAGCTTCTCTAATTCTTTAGCAGACGCTTGCTCTCTTTCTGCCTCTCTTGGAAATGACAAAGGAAAATGAGGCAGCGAGCCTCCCTACGCGCTGCCACACTTTAAATTGACATCTGCTCTCATCGCACGGCGCGCCTGTACCGTTGAGCAAGAAATGAGTTTTTTTATAGGCCGGCTCGTCACTTTATTGCCTCCGCTTGTGCCAAAGAGGCCGCGATCTGCGTCGAGTCATTTTAATCTGGCAGAGTGGAGAGTGGGGGTATATCTGATAATTGCAGCACGGGTCCTTCTGCCTGCAGTTTCCCCGCTCAAGTGCCTGAATCCACGGGGCTCCCCAGGCCAAGTCAGAACACTGATTAGGATGCAGCAGAGGTGCAGCTTTTGGTTGGGCCCCCGCTGGTACTCACCCACCCTCTCTGGCCGTGAAGCATTGGCCTATAGCTCTCCCTTCACTTATTTTCTTGCTCCTTTTTTTTCAACCGCTCCTTGTTTTTTTATCTTGGATATAAATGTATCTCTTCCCCTCTGAAAATTGGATGACACTACCTCTCTTTGAACTTGGTTAGCCCCGTGTCACTTGAGCAATGGTTTGCTATTTCATGAGCCATCACCACAACTATTCCTCCCCTCCCCGGCCTCTCCCGCTCTCACCTATGGTTTTTCCCACTGCGCAGCGGTCAAGACTAAAACTGATGAACAGTTCAATGACTGCTCTTATAAAGGTCTCTTATTATTTCAGTACTTGTATAAAGATGTCTCTCTCTTATTTCAAGACGGTTGCACAATTGCTTCTCAGGCTTGACTTCTTTTCTCAAAGTGAGCCATACAGACCAGAATAAAGTCTGATTTGAAACAGACTTGCATTCGAGACTGAGCTTGTCAAACAAGGCAGCGCTCCCTGACCTGTGCTTGGCGATTGATAGAAAGATAGCCTTGTTCCTAAGTGGTTCAGCAGAAGAACAGAAAGTGGGAAGTGAGATAAGGAAAAATGTAAGGAAAAGAAATGCTATTGATCATACCTCCCTCTTCCTCTTTTGGTCTCATTTGTCTTTGCCTCCCCATCCCTCTTTTCCTTCCTCCCTACCTTCCTCGCCCCTCCTATGTGTCTCTAATCTTTTCCGATTTGGTATGGTAGTAAAACACACTTCACACAGACACTTTGATAGTCAAGGTGAAATTGAAGCGTAGGGTCCCTGGGAGGGTGACATCCTGTTTAGCATAATCAGCATTTACTGTAGAAATAATATCCTGTTTTTTTCTTGGGCGTGATTGGCCTGTCAAGTCTCAGCATGTGACTGCCAAAACATGCTCCTCATAATTTTTGTCTTTTTGAGGATATAGATGCACTATGGAGTCTTCTGGATCTTTGTTCTTACTCTGGAATTTTTATATTTCCTGTAAATACTTCTGCTCTTTAGCAGGCGTTCACCAGTTGAGTGTTTAGCGTGTTTTTCTGCGCTGTGTCGAACATGCAATTTGAGATTTAAGAAAAAAACATATTTGGAAGGATTGTAAAAAAATGATTAGGTGGATGTCTTTAGATTTCTTAGGACTACTTTTGTTGTAAATCCAGTCATCTTGTCACCTTATGCCCTGTTAATTATTACATATCTACTCACTTATGTGAAAATATTTAATCTAGCCTAGTGTGTTAGCTTGATTTTTCTCTGTTACCCAGGGTTTTTACATTGTAAGGCGGTTGCATTATGATACATTGAATTACCAAGTAATTGCTACGGCGCCAAAAGAGTTGTGTGCCCATTACCAGCTGCCAAAACTGCAGGTGTAATTACACACAGGGAAAACTGGTTTGCAAGTTGAATTTGATGTGACCAAGACAGGCCACAAATGCCTCTTTGTAACAGTGCTCAGCAGCAACGTTTTCCAAGAGCACACCTCTTTATAAAAAATGCGGTACAGTTATAAAATATCAACGAGTTCAGTGTTCGGTCCATAACTCTTTTCTCTCCTCAAATTATGCACACAGTACTTTCTGTTATGAGTCCCTGGCTGCCCTGCATTTTGCACATGATTCAATTCTGACACACATTTGCTTTCCAGAAATGATTTGATGTTATTTGTATTTGACCAAGGCAAATGTCAACTTGATTTCTTTCCTCATTATAGCTTTGTAATTTTAAGGCATTTTAAGCCTCTCTGCCTCCTTGATGCATAATCAATAGGAAATGTTCCTTGCACGCTAACATATTTTTTTCTTTCTGCCTCCCAGGGCTCCTATCTTGTGCCTCCGTGGATGATGTTCCCAATGACTGCTCACCACGCTGAAAACAGGACGGCTGATCAATAGGAGTTTTCCCCCCCCCTTCCTTCATCCTTTTCTAGTCCCTGCTTATAGAAAAACAAAACAATAGAAAAAGCCTGACTTGGAAGTAGGCACCGGAGCCCGTCCTCCTCCTTTTTCTCCTCCCCCATCCCCCAAAGCCTTGCCACTGACAGCTCAGATATGTGTTCCCTCACTCGGTCAGCAGCTTTCCCTGGCCAGGGGAACTTGTTACTCCTCTTGGGGTTTTTACTCATTATGAGCTCATCCCTCTGCAGAGGGCAACCCCCACCTTTCCAGCGCTTTGCGTCTACTGAGTGTTTGCTCACACATCTGGCCATCCACAACACGACTGGAGAAGTCTACGTGGGAGCTGTCAACTGGATTTTCAAGCTGTCCAGCAACCTGACCAAACTGCGAAACCACATGACTGGTCCAGTGGTGGACAATGAGAAGTGCTACCCACCACCCAGTGTCCAGTCCTGCCCTCACGACCTGGCTCAAACCCCCAATGTGAACAAGCTCCTCCTTATAGACTATGCTCAGAACCGCCTCATTGCCTGTGGCAGCACCTCCCAGGGCATCTGCCAGTTCCTGCGTCTGGACGACCTCTTTAAGCTGGGTGAGCCTCACCATCGCAAGGAGCACTACCTTTCCAGTGTGGCGGAATCGGGTACCATGTCAGGAGTCATCATAAGCTCCCCGCAGAGTCCTACCAGCAAGCTCTTCATCGGAACCCCTATCGATGGAAAGTCCGAGTACTTCCCCACGTTGTCCAGCCGCAAACTGATGGAGAATGAAGAGAATGCTGACATGTTCAGCTTCGTCTATCAGGACGAGTTCGTGTCCTCTCAGCTGAAGATCCCCTCGGACACGCTGTCAAAGTTTCCCACTTTTGACATCTATTATGTGTACAGCTTCAGCAGTGAGCACTTTGTCTACTATCTAACCATGCAGCTCGATACCCAGCTGACCTCTCCCGACGCCAGCAGCGAGCAGTTCTTCACCTCCAAAATTGTCCGCCTCTGCGTGGATGACCCGAAGTTTTACTCCTATGTCGAGTTCCCCATCGGGTGCACTAAAGACGGGATAGAGTACCGTCTGGTGCAGGATGCCTTCTTGGCCCGACCGGGCCGGCAGCTGGCCAACTCTCTGGGAATTTCAGAGAATGAAGAAATCCTCTTCACAGTATTCTCTCAGGGTCAGAAGAATCGGGCGAAACCTCCCAGAGAGTCTGCCATGTGCCTGTTCACCCTGAGGAAGATAAAGGAGAAGATCAAAGAGAGGATTCAGTCCTGCTACAGGGGAGATGGTAAACTCTCCTTACCCTGGTTGCTCAACAAGGAGCTCGCCTGTATCAAGTCGGTAAGATTGAACTTTTAAGTTTTTTTCTAGATTCATCTCAAGCCCCGTTGAGTTCACTGCCCTAGTTTTCTTTTAAATAATTTGCAGGCCACCTCGTAAAAGACTTTTTATTGACGAGAGCTTGATCCCTGATTCTTGTTCTGTTTCTCATCTGGATAGTCTTTCTCACCACTGTGAAATTTACACTACTTGGGCACTAACTGTCTCCCTCCAAATTCATTAAGAAAATCATTCATTGATGCGTTCGGTGTAGTTGAGAAATATAGAGTACGAGACGGTGTTCTAGTCTCTCTTGCCGTCTTCCTTCGGCTTTTTCTACATGTTTTCCCTGTCCCCACAACCTCTTGGAGCTTTGATTTAGCCAGACAGGGGACATCATTAGCCCAGTCCCCTGGATTTGTGAAATGTCACTCAGGAGGAGCACTCGCACACACACACACACACACTAATGCACACAGCACGGCTCAGTACACTGCGGTGTGAGATCCCGAGGGATAGCAGGAGTTAGACTTCCTTTTTTCTAGCTGATCCACAGTGCATGGCCCTGCATGCATTCCAGAAGATACTGCCTCCACAGACACAACACACAAACACTCGCACCCAAGACCTTAAGGCACCGCAGCATAACACACTGAGTTCAGTTCTTTCTCCCTCCGCTGACCTTCGTCCCTCATTCATTTGCACTGCCCAGCCTCTGTCTTTAAATGGTCTGTTAGCTGGCCACCAATCTCAGTGCCCAGATTTTCCATCTTGTGTGGCCTGTAAAAGCGTCCATCCATCCATCCCTCCCTTCCGTCGTGCTGTCTCTTAAAGCAGCTTCATTAAAAGATGTGTTTTTAGATCTTTTTTTTCTGTAAATGCCAGTGGATACATTGTAACTGTCAGCGGCCTTCATCCAACACATGATCACAGTGTTCACCCCGTGTTACCTTTAATGGAGAAGGATGGCATGCTCCCTCTTTGTTGGTCTTCATTAGCTTGACTGCACAGATGTGTTTGGTGTGATAAGTGATGTGAGTGGCTTATCTCCCCCTACGCCTCTCTCCTGCCTCTCTCCTGTAGATGTAGTCTCCTTCCTTTCCATGATTTTCTTTGTTCACATTTTTTTTATTTTTTTTACTTTTCATTCTCAGCTCCCATCACTCTCACAATAGCTCAGGCCAAAAAAGCACACCATCTCATTTATTTCAATTAGACCTTTGCACCGGTGCAGCTTTTTGTGCCGGGCGCCGTTAAGAGTTCTACTCCACCTTCGGCGTGGTGCCGGGCCTCTGGTAATCTCACTGTGATGCTCCTTCAAGTAATATATGTGGCAGGTAGATAGGCTTTATCCTGCAGGTTCCCTTAACGCTGTCATGATAGCTGAGACGTGGGCTGCAGACTGTAGTGTTTTGTTTTTTTCAGACAACCCTAACCCGTATTTAGGGCTTTGCATACAGTCTGATAGGGCTTTCAGGGGTTGCCATTACCAGTGGACTTTCATTCAGGGGTCTCGCTACAACATGCCGGTGAGCCATCTGCCCATGATTTGGATTTGGATGTCACGCTTTATTTTCTTTGCGTCATGTGTACATATGTCCCTGCAGTTCTCTCCACAGAGAGAATGCCCACAGATGTATTCTCCACTTGTGCTGCTTTCAGTTTAGCCTTTCATCCAATAACGGATGCTCTCCCTGCTGGACCTTACCTTGTCAGACTTGTTGCCATGGTTCCTTCAGAAGTTATAGTCTCGCAGAAGATGTCATCATTGGCGTTGTAATAACTCCAAATGTAAGCTGATTGGCTGACCCCGTGACAGCAGCGCTGCCTAAGAGGTCAGCCTGAGGTTAATGACGCCTGCTCCGTTGCCCCCTATAAACTGACCTGGAGTCAGCTGTCCAATACTGACCTCCACCTCTGTGGGTGCCTCCGGGGATCTCCAGTCTGATATCATTTTTCAGCGTGAGAGCTTGTGTTCTGGAAAATGACTTAACACAGCAAGCTCAAAGTAATGCAGAAAGACACAGAAAATAAAAAGAAAAAGAAAAAGAGAAAAATCCAAATAACCACCAAGTGTGCAAGCGTACAGCACTTTAAATACCTTTAAATTACTTTTAAAATCTACTTTTTAACGCGTGAAAATTAACTCAATATTTTGAGCTAAAGTAACCTTGCTGTTAACAAAGGTAGATAAATGAAACTCAACTTAAACAGTATTAACCTGTAAATTAGCTTCAAAGTGATTGAAAAATGAACTGAGTCATTAGTTGCTAAATAAGTGTTACCTCTGTCATATTAATCAGGTATGCTTTTACAAAGTCCCGTAATCCGAAGGCATGGCTCATTGGTGGAAAACTTTCAGAGGGCATTCTCATACTAATACACAAACATTAAATGAGTGTGATGGTGGAAATAAAAAAAACTTTATGAACTCGGTCACCTCCCAACCTTAATGGTTCCAGGTGGTGTTTAATCCTGTTAGCTACAACCCATTGGAGCTGAGCCTCTCCCAGACCTTCAGCTACTTCAGGAATTCAAATGCAGTCTGAGCTGTGTGGGAAATGCCTGGTTACGTGGGGATAAATGGTGAATATGTTTAGCTTGACCCTGCAGTGGGTGGTGCTGGGTTGGGTCAGCTTGGACAGCTGTTAGCCACACATCACTGATGGATGACCCGGTGTTCCGGGGGAAGTTTAGACTGTCCTGGATCCTGATTTCTCGCCTGCGGCCGTCATTAGGGTGATATGTTTGTTGCTCTGTTGACACAGGGCCTGTTTATTTATTTCGCTTTTCACATAAACCAGTCTGAGCCCAGTAGAATCTGGTCTGTGTTAAAACAAATTCCTCCACAAAACACGCAGACGCACACAGACAACATGTAGCAGCTCGGCTATTTTTACCTGCTGTTTGTGAGTGATTTTGTGTTGTTTGTGTGTCTTTGTTGTGTCCCTGAGCTTTATTAGTGAACCCCTGACCTTCTCCCCCATTTGACTGGATCAATACAAACCATTTCCACTGAAGGAGAGTGAGAGGGTGGAAGAGGGTCTGTAAGTTAGGGCTGAGAGAGGTAGATGACTGGAAACATGGGAGAGCACACTGAAACTGGATGGGGAGAAAATGTAGAGAGCTCAGAGCATGAAGGAGGGCAGGTTTAAGGAAGTGAGCTAGAGGGAGGCAGCCACAACGAGAGACGAAAGAGAAGAAGAAAAAAGGTGCTACATGTGGGTGGTTATAAAAGGAAAGAACCAAAAGAGAGCTGCAGGACTGAAAGAAGAGTTGGATGCCAGAGCAGGATACAGGACAGCAACAGCAGCATCTTTTGTCCTCTTTTTAAAAAGCACAGTGTTGCGAATTTATGTTTATTTAGATTGTACTGGAAATGGTGATCAACTCCAGAAATGAATTTGACTCATTTGTAAAATATCCCTCTATGGAGTGATAAATTAACCGCATTTCTGTCCATGTAAAAAAAAAAAAAAACTGACCCCTCACCATTGTGAGATAGACACGGAAATGAGGGGATAAATGAGTTTAGAGTTGAGTGAATAGATGAAGCAGACTAAGAGAAAATGGCATCCAGGGGGGGAAAAGGCCAATGAAAAACAGCCCGGGAAGGGAGAAGCCGAGAGGGGCCGTGATTCACTGACGGAGTGGTGAGCCGGCGAGGGGAAGAGTGATAGCCCTGGAAATCTTTTCTCTGCCAAGAACAGCTTGAGAAAAGGGTGGATGACAGGGAGAAGAGAGGAGGCGAGAGGGAAAGAGTGCAGAGCATGATTGAGCGCTGACTGCTGCAGGAATAATATCGGTGTCTGTCACCTGGCCGCTGCATTGTCCTCCTCAGCAGTGTGTCTCCCTGTCACGTCAGCCCTGTGAGTGTGTGTCGGTTCCCAGGGTGAGAAGAGCACGCCACCCGGCTCTACGTCTTTATCTATGAAAATGGCTGAATGGAGAGGCAAATTCCAGGCCCGGACAGTCTGAACCTTTCTGCTCTCTTTGTGCTTTTATGGTGCTATTTTCTTCCACCATACACAGTCAAGTGCTTCTCTGTAGCTAACGTTGTGTAGATGTGGCAGGACTGTACTCCGGGCTAACTCTGCGTGATTGGTCTCGGTGAGCAGCCGTCCCTGGCTCTCTCTTTGATCCGGCCGTGCTGAGTGACACGCTGCTCTGACTCCATTAAAAGATAGATGGGAGTGTTCTGAACTCTGTCACAAGCCGGCTCATCAATCAGCCTCTGACTCATAGCCAAAACCAATAGTCGGCCTCGAGGAGCCAGCGTTTCAGCCCGCGCAGGCCAGCTGTTGTCCCCGTCTTCAGAGTCAAAGGTGAGATTTGGTGGTGACCACTCCTGTTTAGGGCTGGCTAACAAGCTGCTTCTTTTCTTTACATACAGCACACACCCACGCTTTGAGTATTAGGGCTGAACTCACTGAGCAGCGTTGTGACGATTTCCTGCCTCAGATACTTTATGTATAGGTGTTTTTCTTTTAGGACAGTGACATGGCCAAAGAGGGGGCCACTGTTAATGGGCTCTTATTGTGAGGCAGCACCATAGAAACCGCTTACTGCCCTATAAGAGATGCAAATGTTGTAAGGGGTCCCTTTGTCTCCAACAACGGAGGAATAATAGACCCTGAGAAACTAATAGATGCCTGAGAAACATTTTTGACAAAGTTTAACGTACTTGTGCCTTAGCTGTAGCATCCTGCAGTGAATAAAAGGTAAGGAACAAGCCCCCGTTCAGAATGTCACAACTGTTAGACAGACGAGATAAAGTTGCTGTCGACCTGATTGAAATTAAGAATATCATGTAACGGACGTGGCTCACTTGTGGTCCCTTTTGATACGCTGTCTTATTTCTGCGGACCTCATCTAAAAGGACGTGGCAGCAAATGTGTTTAAGTAATTAAACCTGATTAATTAAGCCAGGGTTGATGAACAGAGTTAATTGACAGTCTGAATTAGCGGAGCTGGGAGGCGCCAATCGGTGGCTGTGCTTTAAAAGTGATCAGGAATAGGGACTTTATGTCAGTTCCCGTGCAGTGATTAGAGGATTGCTACTTTGGGGTGCGCCTTCAGAATGAGCTAACGGTGTCACACGCTCTGGAGTGCTGCTCTCTGCCCCGTCTCCCGGAACAATGGATGGCTTTTTGGAGCGGACCTCATGCAGACTTTGTGTGAGCTGCTTAATTCTCTGACCTTTCTCCCTCTCTGAGGAGTGTTTGCCTCCACAAATCAGCAGCCGTAGCGCCGGTCTAATGATACTAATTGTCACTGTAATTATGTATTGATTGGTTACTGCGTGTGTGCGTGTGTGTGGGGGGGAGATGTTGCATACATCATTATTAGGTGTAATCAAGAAGTGTGGGGAAGTGGTTGTTTTGCGCATGCTAATAGTGTCGGAGTGTTTGTTCTGCTCGGGTTTCTCCGTTGACGCTCACATCTGTTTCCAGCTGTGCGGTGCAGGGACCCTGTGCGTGCTCACCATCCCAGCCGGACTTCTCCCACCACCTCTTAATGCGGCGCTTTCGTGTAGTCTCCTTTAAATAGACGGACCCCTTGTCCATTTGCTGGTCACCGAGTAGCCCCATTGTTCCGAACGTGCGATGACGGCTTATAAAAACGCTTCTCTGAGAAGGTGCCAGCTCTCTGAGGCCTGGCTGTCTGCTTGGAGTGCACTCAGCACTGAAATTAGCCCCCGCGCCCCATCAATATGGAGCGGGGGCTCTCATCTTTTGTCTAACTTATTGATTAGCGGGAATCAAGTCACTTATTCTAGAAAAACAAGCTTTAGGCATTTAAAAAGAGCCTATTTCTTGGTCGTTAAAGGTTTTTACTGCATACTCCTTTCACGTTTAATCATAAGAGGAGGAATAAAAGACTTGACTGGGAATGGATCGTATGTTCAGTTACACATCTGTAACACATCAGCCAATCGCAGATGTGTGTTTTGTCTGTAGCGTCCAAGTTAACCTGCAGAGTCTTAAGAAATGTGTAACTATGGTTACTATCAGATGCCAGGCGTTTAGGTTTCTCCTCTGCCTTAAAATAAGCACAAGTGCACATCCAGATGTGCTTAAAAGCGCATGCGCGCAGATTCAGCTTCACTTTCTCCCCCACCTTTTAAAAAAAATGTTTATCCAACTTGAAGAAACTCCAGCAGTGTCTGTGTGAGTTCAAAGCTCCCACTGATGGGTTATTTATAAGCTGCCCTCTCCCAGAATCTTTCACTCTGCTTGGAGCCAGTCACACACACACACACACATACATCAGGTGAAAGGCACCTGCATCAGCCAGCAGACTCTCTGTGTGTGTGTGTGTTTGTGTGTGTGTGCGGGCACTGGGAAAATCTCCATCATCTTGTTTGTCAGCAGCTCCGGTATGTTTCCCCTTTTCTACTTCCCGTTTATTTGTGACTGCTTTCACTTCCCTGCTCTCTCCCACTCCCACACTCTCTCTCATAGTCACTCACTCACACACCAATTTTGTGTGCGTATTTACGGTTCTCTGTAACGGTGAACACATCGTTGTAGGTGTGTTCAAGAGCACAGGAAATAGGCGTATCTGCAGCCATGTTTTTAAATGTTTATATATCCCTTACTGTTTCCTTCTCAAGCAGGTTTTTACAGAGGGGCGTAGTACCTGTTAAAAGCAACATGCTGCCCTGGTTATTTTCACCATGGCGGCTGAATGAGGGGCTCGTTTGTCCCGTGTTTTCCTGCAGATTTGATGGCTGTAGCTCCGCCCCCCCGGGGCTGGGTACGTTCAGGCCCGGGTTGTGTTGTGATGCTTCTGCACGCTTCTCTGGACGGAGGTGGCTGTGGATGCCTCCCACTTGTGGTTAGCTTTAATGCGTTTCCAAACACACTTTCCTGACGCAATTCGATGAAGAAAACTGGAATCACCGGGGAATGATTATTCAACCACTTCCTGCAGCACATCTGCTCTCAGTTGGGGTTTTTGCGGGCCGGGTGGTGCGCTCACACGTGCTCGGCGCCATAGGAATGGCTACAATTCAGCGTTTTGCAGCACGGAGTGGATGAAGGGAAAACCAGAACAGTAATGGCTGTTAGACTTTGAACTGTTTCTGGATACCGCTCTGAGTTTGCGGGTGGATGTGTGTGCAGGCCTCATTTATTGCATCAGCAGTATTTGGGTCACAAATTTCTTTGTGACCTTAAAAGTCAGACGTTGGTGTTCCTGCACGCTCTGTAAATTCAACAATACAAGTGCAACATATTTGTGTACCGAGGGGATTAAAACATGTCCAGTCTGGACAAACGGTAAATCTGAAATGATAAGTGTGAGGAAATGAGAGGAAGATAAAAGGATTATTTCATTTGTATGTTACATTTTGCTTGATTTCACGTTGTGGTCAGAAAATATAACAGTTAAATTGACCCAACAGATTTTGGCTTTCTTAAAAATTCTTGATTTGAGTCATCTTTCACTTCCTCCTGTATTAGCTGTAAAATGTCACTTATTTTTTTCACTCATGTGGTTTCAGAAAGGGCAGGTTTCCACCTTGAGTGGTGCCAGAGTAAAAAGACCAAACGCACAAAGTGAGCGCCTGGACTGAAAAGGTCTGGGGAAAAAAAGCTGTCCACCTTTACCGAAGACAGAAAAGCCCCGCTCCCAGACAGCAGCCCTCACTACAGAGGGTGGGATGCATCTAGTTTGGGAGGAGGTCCTGAGTGAGAGAGAAAAGCTGTAGATTCGCTCAGTGTGCGACGCATGCATTCCTTAAAAATCAGAGGAACAAACCTCCTTTGCATTTGTGAGACTCTGCTGCCAAAGTCAGCGGAAGGTTGTCGGGCAGACCCTTTCATCCCGCCTCTTCTAAGGCGCTGTGGAGCTGTAAATGCAGTCTCTAGCCAATAACCCACAAAAAGGAATATTCCTTCCACGCTGGAAATCGGCTATGAATCTCCTGGGAATCTTTTAGTGCATTAAATTGCATAATACACACTAGAATGCAGCCCCTGTAAAATGTTTCCAACCTCAAGGGAAACGCCTTTTCTTCCATGCTGATCTCGGCTGTTTAAACCTTCCAGACTTGCAAAAAAAGCCGCAGCACCTTTACCCTCCTGCGCCCCAGAGAGGCCGGCGCATTCTGCTGTGTGTGGATGATGGGGGTGTGTGTGTGTGTCCATATTGTGTGTGTTGACCCTTTTGGGCTCTTAAGGCGACTGTGCACAGTGTTGTCAACAGTTCCTCTCTTCTGTATATGATGGATTAACCCTTTTAACTGGAGTCCCTTAGGCTCTGACGTCATTAGACTTTCCTGTGTGTGTGTGTGTGTGTGTGTTTATATCTAGAGTCTTTATCTGGAGCTGACTCTAACCCAGGCTGATGAATTGCTTTCACATGACGATATGGTTTAAAGCATGTCATGTGAAGATGGTGGCAGTTGTTTTGTTCCTCGTAGCCAAAAGTAAAGTGGATGCTTTGGCTCAGTGCGTGTTTTGCTTTGTGTAAGCGCGCACAAGCCTATGGGCCCATAGGTGTGTGTTTGGCAGTGTTTGTTGTCTGCCAGTCACTTTTGTTGTACCGAGAAAGAATTGCCCCATAGCAATCAGGGGTAACAAAAGAAAGCTGTTTCAGGTAATGGCTCTGTTTGTTTCTGTCACTTTCTTAAACACACTCCCAGACAAACAGAGGCTTCTATTAAAATGCTTTCCTCTGCTTTTCCCTTTCCTTTTACCATTTGACAGAGAAAAAGAGAAGGTAAAAGACATGAATAGATGGCTCTACCACTTCTTGGAGAACAAGAGAACAAGAACCA